ATAAAATAAAATAAAAAGTAGGGGGCATCAATTGCTAAATATTGTTGAGTTTCAGGGTGCTAGTAGTTGCTCTTTCTGGGAAATAATTTAGGAACAAAAATTCTCTTTGAACTAAAATCAATATTATGAAGTTAAGTCGAAGTCAATCAAAAAACAACGTTGCAACCATTTTTTACACTTAAAAATAACATTGCTCCGATAAATAGTTTATGATGGCCAATACTCTTCTCAAAATGGTTTAAAAGCAATAACATATATTAACCCACAAGACATCTTTGTATAGAGGAAAAGCCACGATTTTTAAATTATACTTCCTCCGTTCCTTATTATAAGAGACAAATAACCGAAGTACGTTGATCAAAAAAACAGTTAAAATTAGTTAAGAACAATTAATGTGTAAAAAGTATAATTTTTTTTCCAAAAATGCCCTCATTAATAAGGAGAGAGAGCATGAGAGAGAACAATTAAATTATTAAAAGAAAGAGAAGTGAGAGGGAGAGAGAGTGTGAGTTGGAGATAATAAATATGGGTAAAATAGTAAATTAACACAAAAAAGTAGAGACAACTTGTAAGTGTCTCTTATATATAGGAACATGCCATAAGCATCAAATGTCTCTTATAATAAGGAACGGAGGGAGTATTAGTCAGTTTCTCGATACCTAGTAATATGATCCAGAAAAAACCCAAACTCTAAGACGCATCAATTTCATTGTATCTCATGTTATGATCATACACTTTGGTACTTAATTGGAATGGCGGTAGAATTTTTTTTAAAATTAGTTTTTTAGTCTTAATTAAATACCAAGTAAATAGATGAGGGAAGTATTCTCTCAATTTTAGATAAATATAATAACTGGCTCATATAAACGTTGCTTCTTGTGGACGTCAACTTTAGGTTGATCCAAATATTCTCTCCCACAAAGGTTGTCTCAATTAAATTTGGCGGGAAAATGTCTTGGTATTAATTTTTTATTTCTGTAATTTTGCCAGATTGATGCGAAAGCAAGATGCTTAAGTAGTACTTAATTAATTAAATATTTATAAAGAGCAGAAAGAGAATAAAAAGAACACACAAAAATAGTGTCATGTCTGTATTCACATTCAAGTAATTGTCACTCTAGAATGAATCTTTTCCAGCACGCAGGAAATAATATTAAAAACATTTCTCACAATCTATGAGATATCTTAATTTATTTTATCTTTCATATTTATTATTTTTAAACTATTTTAATTAATTTATAAATTGATCTATAATCTGATATTGCACAATCATATTTTAGGGAGTGAGATAGAACCACATTTATTATAAATTTATAATTAATTATTTGGAAAAATTAATTTGCCAATTCTTATAGTTTTACCTGATTTTGAATCAGGTCCTTACATTTCTTTTCTTTTTTATTGAATCCTTATTTTATTTTTGAAAAAATGGCAAAAAAAGACCGCCGAAATAGAAAAATTGCACACAAGGACTGGTTTATAAAAATTGTTATTAAAACCCATACTATTATTGTCAAAACCCATACTAATATTGTCATGAGTCTTTATTTATAATTTTTCTATTTAGGCCGTCTTTTTTTGTCATTTTCCCTGTATTTTTTGTCTTGATGGAAGGCCTTCCATTATAACACTGTTAGTTAAGGGTTATTGGCACATCTTCTCTTCTTACTCTATTTCCCTCTCACTCCTCCGCCCAACTGCGAGCAATCTCCTCTCTCTCTCTCTCTTCATAATCATTGTCTTTCAATTCTTGCCCACCTTTTCCAATGACACCCACACCCCCCCGCACTCTTTGTTTTTCTCCTCTTCCATTCTCTCTACCAGTTCCATCTTCATTTCCTTAATTTAGTCATGACGTTGGATTCCTCCTCAGGTACTCCTCCAGTTCTTAATATAAGACCCATTTAACTAATTTGATTAGATTAAGGAAGTTAGGTAAATTAGTTAATTATAAGAAAAGTGACACATTTTTCCTAAAATACCATAATCATCTTTTTTAATACCCCTCTCTCTCTCTTCTATTTGATTATGGTTGAGGGAGTATCTATAGGGGTAATTTAGAGAAAATTGATAAATATGAGAAATGAGTCTTATATTTAGGACCAAAACCAACTCAAGAATTGGGTCATGTATTAAGAACCGGAGGAGTATTTTTTATTATACCCATGTCCCCAACTCTAACCTTGTCATTAGTAATATTGAATTCTAAAAATAACAAATTGGACATTCATGTGCGGTTTCAAAATTGTACGTGAGAAATTTTTCATAAATAAATGTTCATCAGCTCTTGACCCAAGTTCATGAATACATAGAGCGCATGCGGAAAAGGGAGAAATTGTTGCTCTTGCAAGAGCTTCTCATGGCGGTGAAGGTGTAGAGAGAGAAAGAAAGGAGAGAGAGTGATAATGGAAGAGGAGCAAAGAAAGAGATTGTGGGGGTGTCGTTGGAAAGGAGGGGGGAAGAAGACGATGATTACGGAAAGAGAGAGAAAATATTGATCAGTTGCAAACTATATGGAGGAGTGAGGGAGAAGCTGAGCAAGAAGACAGACCATACTAACATAGACTAACAGTTTGATGATGGAAGGACTTTCATCGAAACTAAAAATATAATAAGAATTTAATAAAAATAAAAAAATATAAGGACTGACAAATTAATTTTTAATTTTTCCTAATGGTTTATCAAACTTTTTTAACCCACCTAAATTAATTAAATAACTCTTTCATTGTAGGAGGTGTTTGGTTTTTTCCAAAAGTACTCATGTAAGTCAAGATAAAATTCCTCTCACATATCGTAAAATCACTTTTAAAATTATGGTTTGGTTTCCACTCAAATACCCCTAAACATAAAAGGAACATTAAAATTTTAAGGTGAAAAAATGTAATAGGTTAATTTTACATGACATCTTATCATTTGGACACAAAAATAAAGTCTTCTATATAAGACACATTGTATACTGGAGGGACCATTCATCAATATATGCATTAATTCTATCTTCTTGTTTCCCTTCGGCGTCTCATAAAATTAAATTTTAGCATATACTCCCTCTTGCCCATAATATAAGTAATTTTTATAAAAATTTCTTAGTCTATAATATACTCCTTATTATAATTTATAGGATTTTAAAAACAATATTTGACCCTAGATATAAGTCATCAACTAACTCAATAATTGCTATTTTTCAAACTCACTCTTGTTATTAATTACTTTTAGTGTTAATTAATATGGTTATCAAACTCTGTATTTCTCTATCTAGTACATCATTTAAATTGGAAATAAACTTGAAAAAAATTTAATTTAGGACAAATTTAATACTCTAACTGTCATTATTTCTTGGTATGTGAGAATTAGGGAGTATTTAGGTAGAAATCAAATCATTATTTTAAAAATAATTTTACAATATACAGAACAAAAATATGAGAAAATTTTTATTTCCATTTATATGAAAACACTTTTTAAAAGTGCTTTTTGGGATTTCCAAACACTTTGTAGTGAAAAATACTCTTCTAGTCTTATTTATAGAGAGAAGGCATTTTTTGGTCCTATTTATAAGGTACTGAGAGAAATTTTTTGTGTGGATGTACAATTTTATCCCTCATTTATTATTGTGTTGACTTTGTTTATATGAAGTATAATATATATTAAATAAAAATAAAGTTAGAAAGTCATTAAATTTTAAATAAGAGTTAATGAAATTTAATGTTTTCCTTAGTCTGTATGAAACATGCTGGAAGTGCTTTATAAATAGGATCATAGAAGTACCCTATAGAAAAGACTAGAAGGAGTAAGCCATTCAAAGAATACTATCTCCGATCTTAAATATAAGAGCTAGTTAACTAATTTGAGTAGATTAAGAAAATAAGTTAGATTAGTTATTTATAATAAACAGGTATTGTTTTTTCTAAAATATCCTTGCTAATCAAGTGTATTGGTGAGAATTATTATTATTAGAAGGATCACCTTAGAAAAAAAATGTATAAATACGAAAGACAAAATGGATTAGGGTTTTATATTTAAAATCAAAATAAAAGTGAAATGAGGTCTTATATTAAAAACTGAAAGTAGTAATTAATTTTTATTTGTCAATTTTGCCTCTGTAATTGATGCTTAATTATGAATTTTTATATTTTTTTTCCTTCACAACCTCATTTAATATAAATAAAGTTGAGACTGATTTAACAAGGAAAAAAAAACTTAAAAATAGAAAAATTATAAATAGAGACCTGTTACAACATTAGTATGAGTTTTTAACAAAAACTGATAAGTAAATGACAATAATTTTTGTGAACATATCTTTGTAGGCAATTTTTTTTATTTTTAGGGTTTGTTTTTACGATTTTTCCTTTCTTAAGTTAACCATCATTTTTTTTTTTTTGGTTTTGATGAAAGGGCTAAAGTGAGTTGTGTTGCGAGGATGGGGAATATCAGCTTTGCCTGTACGGGCACGCCACCTGTGTGAGGTATAAATATAATGCTTTCTGCTTTTAATTATTCTTGTCTCTTGAACACTTTAATTTTTGGCCTTTATTCAGATTAACGCTATCCCCAAACCCCCACCTATATATGCATTTTCAGATCTGAAGCTAAATAAATAAGCACCCGAATTGTGTTTTTGTGTGTGTGCCTTGATCACTTGATTGATAAATTCTTATTATTGACCAAATGGCTTTTCCAGCTCCACGTGATGAAGGAGGAATCGAAGTTCTTCTCATGGAGACCAGGAACCTATCACGGTTCATATCGCGGCGTGATTGGCACAATGCAGTTGAATTATGTAAGCGTAATCCCAGGCTCCTGAGCCAAGGGATGGCGAACTCGAAGGACACCGCCTTGCACGTGGCCATCAACGAGAACAGAGTTGACGTCGTGGAGAAGTTGATCGTTATAATCGAGAGTACGAGAACAAACCAGGCTCTGATAGCACGAAATAACAAGGGGGAAACCCCTCTGCATTGCGCGGCCGCGAGAGGGTCCGAGCAAATGTGCGAGCTGATCCTCCGTGCAGGAGACAACATGGGTGAGGATCTGCTAGGTATTCCCAACAAGTGGGATGAGAACCCGATCTTCGTCGCGGTTGTCCATAACCGTAAACCAGCCTTCATCTACCTCTACGATGCTGCATGTAAAAAAGGAGAAGACTACTGGGACTCATATCGGTACTTGGTTATTAAAAGAGGTACTGATGGAGATGCTGATAGAGATGCTGATGCTGACGCCGATAGAGATACTGTGCTTCACTCGGCCATTAGGAGAGGGCACGTAGGTGAGCATCACTATCCTTTCACGTCACTGTTTTTTTTTCCCCCTTAAAAAATAGTGAGATTGAACTTGCGACCTCCAAATAAGCTTTGAGGCCATTAATGCTATTTCATATTCAGCAGTTATATTTAGTGACTGCTGTGACTATATATGTGTGTTGATTATTTTATATAGATTTGGCATTCTACATCATCAAAAAGTGCCCACAGCTTTCGGACGATTTCAATGCGAAGGGAGTGAGTCCTCTTGAGCTGCTGGCCAGAACACCTTCCCTGTTTAGAAGTAGCTACAACCTTTCCTGGTGGAAACATATCATATACTTTTGTAAGTGTGTGTGTGTGTATCAATATTACTCACTTGGATTCAATCACACATTAAAAAATGGGAAGAATTACAATGAGGTACTAAAGAAAAAAAATTACAAAACAAATATCAGAAGTTGTCATTTTATATTCTGGAACTTGTTATTACATGTTGTTTAGGTTGTTATTGAGACTTTTTAGTAATTATACTTCTTCCTTTGGACCTCATACATTGTAATTCTTCCTGAAAAATTTGATATAATAAATATAAGGAACTTAACCTAAATATTGTTCTTCTCTCTCTCTTTACTTAATTTTGTATATATATTCTAGCTTATTAATTAATTAACTTGGTGTGTGGGTGCATGAATTATTGATAATAAATTGAATAATGAATTTTTCCTTTTCTGGGGGCTTGCTAGGTATACAAGTTGCTGCACTGAAGTATGATCCCAATCCTAATTCTAAAACAAATCCAGATCGTAAAAGCTCCAACATTGTCAGTCCGCCTGCTGCCCATAGAAGGCATGGTATGTTGCATGCATGGTAAAAGGGCACCCAACTGCCCTTCCCTCTCTTTTACTCAGTTATACGGTGAAATAGAGTAATTGTTAAGGACAGTATTCTCTTACACAAATCAAATTATTTATTTTATATTTTTACATGTGTATCTTTCCCAATTATTCTTGATTTAGATCCTCTTCATTTATTCTAATTTATCTATCAGTGTTGCGATCGTAATTTATGCAAAATCGATTAAGTACATATAAGTTATATAAAAATTTGAATTTTAAAAACCGTACCTGAGTTATATAAATAGTTTAACTTTTTTTTTTTTAAAAGATTTTGCACAATTTATTTGGTTGTCATCTAATCATCATATATCTCTAACTGATTTAGCAGACAAAAAGGAAGAAGCGGAACCAGTGATGAACCCAAAAAACTCAGTTGTGAATAAGAAAAATTAATTTCTTAATAATCTATTATATATATAATTCCTCCAACTAATTAAGTTTCCATATCAGTGTATATATGCTTGTTTAATTTCCTGTGAATATAAAATTAATGGATGCCACAGGGAACATATTCGCCAAGATAAGGAGGGTGAAAGAGAAGTATATATGGAGTCTTCAAATATTGGATCAACTTTTGGAAAATTACTTGAATGAAGAGAACATGAAACATCCAATTGACCCTGAATCGGGTTCAGATCATGATCCATTTGAGATGCTTGCTGCATTTGGTGGTAATTCATTTTCCCCTTCTTACCAAATTCATATCATGCCTGGGGTTGGCGTGCCTCATTGCCAAAAAGAAAAAGTAAATTAACAACTAAATTTAGTTTAGTGATGAAATTTTTGCTACTGGTGACGAAATTTCGTTGCTAATCAATTAGGGAAGGCTTTTTTTTTTTTTATAACAAAATTTAAAAATTTCATTACTAATTTGCTGTTTTTTAATATCTGCTAATTTCTTAATTTTTTAATATACCTCTTGTGATATATGTGTATATATATCCTACACATTTTATTTTGTTTCATTTTCTATTCATTTTTTATTGAACATAATCTACTAAATAAAATAAAGACATTTTGATTGTCATTTTAATTATGAACTATCCAGATTGATTTTGAATGATTCGGAGTCAATTTTTTTAAAAATAATTTATTTTAATAGATGCATAATTTAAAACATATAAAATTATAACTGACACTTTATCATTAAAAATTTTAAATCTCAACCGTTCTGGTGAAATATTATTTAATTATGTCTAGTAAGTTAATAAAAAGAATGGCTTGATTGATTTCAAAATCATGATTGAATTGAATATGTAATATAGTCCTGGAATTAAATTAATTAATTAATATTGGGCAGGGGGTGGTGATCGCAGAGACAAGATTGAGAACATCACAAATAAAGCCCTGTTGGCAGCAGCAGAGACAGGCGTGATCGAGGTAGTGGATAAGATTCTGCGAAGATTCCCAGGAATCATCCCTGAAGATACTGTAGGTCCAACGAACAAGAATATACTGATGGTGGCTGTAGAGAATCAACAGGCAGAGATATTTGTGGCACTTCGACAACACTTGAAAAAAGTACCAGGGAAGCCTAACCTGTGGGACGACCTGGTTCATGCGGTGGACGATGAAAACAACAATATACTGCACATAGCAGCAAAGTACGATGAATCCTGGTCTCATGGTTGGCAAGCTTATGGTTATGCCATGCAGATGCAATGTGAAATCACGTGGTACGAGGTAAGGATAATATCCACTCTGCACTTTTAACTAATTCTCACATATTAAAAAAATAAATGACCATTTATAAAATTCAATGTTCTTGTCTTTTATTTTATTTTTTTAAATGAAAGTTTGGGCAGATTGGATTCTAGAAATTCACACATGCCTTCATGTTCAAAAATCTAAATTAAACTCATAACATTATGAATTATGTGCCAACTCCTTATAAACTAGATTAATCTTTATTAGAAATGTGTCTTTATCTTTTTATTATGACTTTTCCATATTTTCTTGTCAGTAAGTGATGCTCCCTCAAGTATTACATAGGCACGCTGGATGATTCATTGAAAAATTAGTTAAATTAATTATTTTATAAAAAAATTATATTGATTTCTCCATAATATTCCTTTCGATTATTATCCCATTAATGAACACTCCTTTTTCATGTATACAATTAGTAGGGTCATTTTCGAAAGTATGTTGACATTTAACTAGTTTTATTTAATTTTTTCAGTGTCATTAGAGTAGGTAGTTAATACGTATAATAATAAGACGAATGAGAGGGAGTCGATACCGTGCACACAAATACACTGTGCTGTCTCCTAGAGTAATACTCCCTTGACTCTTTTTTTATGAGACAAATTCACATACTTTAATTTACACAAATAAAGAAATTTAGTTGAATATCTTTAAATTAATTTCATTTTTTTTCAAATAAAGTTATTGCTTAATATATATGTGTGTGCATGCAAATAAAACAGTTTTAACTTATTCACTTGAACTATTAAATTGCAGTATGTGAAATCATTTGTGCCCTCCCACTATCTCTTCCTTAAGAACGGAAAAGGCAAAAACCCGGAACAAATATTCACTAGAGACCCCAAAGATCTGGTGGAAAAGGGCAACGCATGGCTTAAGGACACATCTCAATCTTGCCCGGTGGCGGCAGCACTGGTGGCCGGAGTTTCTGCGACGTCGAAGTCCATCCATGGCAAAACCCCGGAACAAATATTCACTAGAGACCACAAAGATCTGGTGGAAAAGGGCACCACATGGCTTAAGGACACATCTCAGTCTTGCTCGGTGGTGGCGGCGCTGGTGGCAGGAGTTTCGTTTGCGACGTCAAAGTCCATCCCTGGAAGTATCGACGCCAAAGGCAAACCAACATTAGAAGGACATCCCGCGTTTCAACTTTTCGCCATCAGCGGACTCATAGGGCTTGGATTTTCCGTCACTGCGCTTATCATGTTCCTCTCCATACTTACATCTCGAAAACAACCCATAGATTTCAAAAGGAATCTGCCATTCAAGCTTCTTCTGGGATTAAGCTCATTGTTTGTGTCCATTGCTTCCATGTTCATATCTTTCTGTGCTTCACATTTCTTCGTGGTTGAGGACAAGTTCAAGAAAGGAATCTTCCCTCTTTATGCCGTCACTTGTCTTCCTATTTCATTGTATGCCATCGCACAGTTTCCTCTTTACATGAATCTTATGAAAGCCATTGTTAAGGACGTTCCCCAATCCCAAAAATACGTCCAGTTGTGATTGATTAAATCTTTCATGTTGTTGTTTTTCTTCACAGATTTTGTGATGTTATAATAATGATTGCTTTGTGTTATTGGTTTTGTATTTGCGAATCTTACGAACAAGAACAACCTCATATATATGGATATGGATCCTCTCTATTTACAATCTCATTTTAATTTGTCTCAATTCTAAATAGTACTTGTTAGATCAATCTTATATATTACCTTCTACTCTTAATATAAAAATTAATTTGACATTTAGTTTAATCTTAAATTTGACATTCAATTTGATTTTAAATATAAGATTTCAATCCACTTCATGTCTTATATTTATCCATTTTTTGCCCAGTAGTCTTTATAGTAGTTGCATATGTTAAATATTTTATTAAATAGTAGTTCTAGTTAATACACATGATTAGCAAGGGTATTTTAGAGAAGATAATACCTATTTATTATAAATAACTAATTTAACTAATTCTTTTAATCTACTCAAATTAATCAACTAGTTTTTATAATATTACAGATCGGAGGTAGTATATAGCTTATTAATTGGACCTTCTAATGCTTAATATTGTTATTTAATATAAAAAGATAGACATTCATATTCTGATATCTTGCTGTTATAAAACAGTACAATTGTATTCTTTGTGCTTTTTTCAAGCAAAAAATATAACCAAAAATTTGGAATAATTTGAAAAATCATAAAATATATATACATATAATTGTATTGTTTCATAACCATAACATATCAGGATCAGAATCAGAATCAGAATCAGAATCTTTCTCATTCTATACAATATGTCTGGGGTTACAAGCAATATTAAATTTGCCACCTCTCATTTATAAGAGAGTTTACGCACCAATCCGCTAGGAGGGCATTGGCCACCTCATTTGTCTTAATATTTCCTCCCATGCAATTACACAGTTTCCCCTTTTAGATGAATCTTTTGAACGCCGTCGTTTTATCTGATTCCCAGATCACACAAATATGTTCATTTCGGCTGGGAAACAACCCCCCTCTTTTTCAGGTTAACGTTTTCTTTTCATTTGGCCAATATTCGATTGGTAATATTATCATTTGAACCAAGATTTTTTTAATGTTAGATAATTGATTTTCCAGCAACTACTAATATTGAAAATTTCATAATAGATCATTTAAATTTAATATTTTATAAAACTATTATTATACTCCTCCGGTCCTTAATATAGGACTCAATTCTTGAGTTAGTTTTGGTCTTAAATATGAGATTCATTTTTCATATTTATCAATTTTTTCTAAATTACCCTTATAGATACTCTCTCAACCATAATCAAATAGAAGAGGGAGATGGGGTATTAAGAAAGATGATTATGGTGTTTTAGGAAAAATGTGTCATTTTTATTATAATTAACTAACTTACCTAATCTCCTTAATCTAATCAAATTAGTTAAATGGGTCTTATATTAAAGATCAGAGGAGTAATATTTTATAAATTAATTTTTTTCCTATTTGTCCGGTACTACAATTACGAGCCATGCAGATGCATGTCAAATATTAAGTATTAAACTTGAATCATTCATTTTTTTCATAATACTTGAATCATCCATTTTTTTAATCTAAAAGTGGAGATGAGATTCTGCGGGAAAAAAAGAAGAAAGAGAAAAAGAAAATATCCTGGACCCATTGTATTATACCAAGTTTGAGAGATTTTCAATTTCACCTGTGAATAGTATAATTTATTATAAATTTAATTATATTGGAAGGGAAATTGATTGATTTTGTTAATATTAGTGAAAATGAGTACTTTTTAATCAACTTAAATAAAATAAATGCAAGAATTGCTCACCTCCACAGAGTTTATGAGGAGGATGAATCAATAACAATGTCCGTAAAAAAATTTTTTGAGAAAGAAATAAAAAAAATTCTTTATAATAATTTTTGCATGATCACCGTGAACGTGCAAACATGCTTTCCTCTGCAATTACCATGACACTACATGCACGAGGTTTTATCGTATTTACTCCAAGCTCAATTAGAAGTAGATGATGCCTGCGGCAAGGGCGGCGGGTACGGCAACGGTAGAAATCGGAGTATAGATGCGTCGCTGGACCCTGAAGCAGTAGAATCGAAGGCACCGGGAGGCACAGGTCCGCCCAAAGGAGCGGCGACGACGCCGTCAGGGGAATCGGCAGCTTCTAGGACTCCGATGGCTCCATCGGTCAGAGGCTCAGCGAGGTCGGTCTGGGAGTTGTTACCATTAGAGGAAGACAGAGCTGGAGTGGAATCGGCTTCCACGACGGCAAAAGCCTGAACGACGGCGAGCAAGAGGAAAGCGAGGACCACAACCTGACGAGCACTTTCATATTCTAGGGAGTGAGATATAACCATATTTATTATAAATTTAAAATTAAATAATTGACCAAATTTTTTTAACCCACCTAAATTAATTAACTGAATCTTTTATTTTAGGAGTTGTTTGGTTTCTCCAAAAATGGTTTTAAAAACACTTTCATGTAAATCAAGATAAAACTCCTCTTATATATTGTAAAATTACTTTTAAAATTATGGTTTGTTTTCTAATCAAACATCCCTAAAAATGAAAGGAACATTAAAATTATGAGGAGTAAAAAAGTAATAGATTACTTTTACATGACATCTTATCATTTGGACACAAAAAAAGTCTTCTATATAGGACACATTATATACCGGCCGGATCATGCATCAATATATGCATTTATTCTATCTTCTTGTTTCTCTTCGGTTTCTCATAAAATTTTAGCATATGCTCTCTCTTGCCCATAATATAAGTAATTTTTATAAAAATTTATTGGTCTACAATATACTTTTTATTATAATTGAACAATATTTGATCCTAGATATAAGTCATCAATTAACTCAATAATTGCTATTTTTCAAACCTACTCTTGTTTCTGGTAAGGAAAAAAACCATACTCTTTTTATTAATTACGTTTAGTGTTAATATGGTCATCAGACTCTGTATTTCTCGGTCTAGTACATCATTTAAGCTGGAAATAAACTTGAAAAAAAATTTAATTTAGGACAAGTTTAATACTTTAACTGTTATTATTTCTTTGTATGTGAGAATTAGGAAGTGTTGGGGTAGAAATCAAACCATTATCTTAAAAATAATTTTACAACATACAAAGTAAGCATGCGAGATGAATTTTATTTTGATTTGCATGAAAATATTTTTTAAAAGTATTTTTTGGATTTTCAAACACCCCCAGTGAAAAATACGCTATAGAGAAGACTAGAAGGAGTACTAAACCACTTAGAGAATAATTCATTTTATTTGTCAATTTTGCCCCTATAATTATACCTAAATATTACTTTTTATATTTTTTCCTCTTTCACGGCCTCATTTAATATGAATAAATTTGGGGGAAAAATAAATTTGAGACTGATTTAATAAGTTAACCATTATTCTTTGGTTTTTTTGATGAAACGGTTAAAGGGAATTATACTGTGAGGATGGGGAATATCAGCATTGCCTGTAGGGTCACGCCACTTGGGTGAGGTATAGATATAATGCTTTCTGCTTTTAATTATTCTTGTCTCTTAAACACTTTAATTTTTAACCTTTATTCAGAATAACGTTATCCCCAAACCCCCACCTATATATATTTTCAGATCTGAAGCTAAATAAATAAGCAATTTAATTGTGTTCGTGTGTGTGTCTTGATCACTTGATTGATAAATTCTCATTATTGACCAAATGGATTTTCCATTTCCACTTGGTGATCAAGAGAGTAGCAGTGATGAAGGAAGAATCGAAGTTCTTCGCATGGAGGCCAGGAACCTATCACGGTTCATATTTATCAATTTTGGCTCCGCAATTAATGTTTAAATATGGCTCTTTATATTGTTTTCCTCCTTCACAACCTCATTTAACATGAATAAATTTGAAAAAAAAAATAAATTTGAGACTGATTTAATAAGCTAACCGTTATTCTTTGGTTTTGATGGAATGGTTAAAGGGAATTATACTGTGAGGATAGGGAATATCAGCTTTGCCTGTAGGGGCAGGCCACTTGTGTGAGGTATAAATATAATGCTTTCTGCTTTGAGTTATTCTTGTCTCTTAAACACTTTAATTTTTAGCCTTTATTCAGAATAACGCTATCCCCAAACCCCCACCTATATATATTTTCAGATCTGAAGCTAAATAAATAGGTAGTCTAATCGTGTTTGTGTGTGTCTTGATCACTTGATTGATAAATTCTTATTATTGACTAAATGGATTTTCCATTTCCACGTGGTCATGAAGAGAGTGGCAGTGATGAAGGAGGAATCGAAGTTCTTCTCATGGAGACCAGGAACCTAACACGTTTCATATTTATCAATTTTGGCTCCGCAATTAATGTTTAAATATGGCTCTTTATATTGTTTTCCTCCTTCACAACCTCATTTAACATGAATAAATTTGAAAAAAAAAATTTGAGACTGATTTAATAAGCTAACCGTTATTCTTTGGTTTTGAAGAAATGGTTAAAGTGAATTATACTGTGAGGATTGGGAATATCAGCTTTGCATGTAGGGGCACGTACGCCACTTGTGTGGGGTATAAATAGAATGCTTTCTGCTTTTAATTATTCTTGTCTCTTAAACACTTTAATTTTTAGCCTTTATTCAGAATAACGCTATCCCCAAATTAAACCCCCACTTATATATATTTTCAGATCTGAAGCGAAATAAACAAGCAATTTAATTGTGTTTTTGTGTGTGTCTTGATCACTTCATTGATAAATTCTCATTATTGACCAAATGGATTGTCCATTTCCACTTGGTGATCAAGAGAGTAGCAGTGATGAAGGAAGAACAAGCTTAGCTCTTCGCATGGAGACCAGGAAACTATCACGGTTCATATCGCAGCCTGAATGGGACGAGGCAGTTGAATTATGTAAGAGTAATCCGAGGCTCCTGAGCCAAAGGATGGCGAACTCGAAGGACACTGCCTTGCATGTGGCCATCGACGAGAACAGAGACGACATTGTGGAGAAGTTGATCGGTATAATCGAGAGTACGAGAACATACCAGGCTCTGAAAGCACAGAATAACAACAAGGAAACCCCTCTGCATCGCGCGGCCGCGAGAGGGTCCGAGCAAATGTGCGAGCTGATCCTCCGTGCAGGAGACAACATGGGTGAGGATCTGCTAGGTATTCCCAACAAGTGGTATGAGAACCCGATCTTCGTCGCCGTTGTCCATGACCATAAACCAGCCTTCATCTGCCTCTTTGATGCTGCACGTAAAAAAGGGGAAGACTCATGGGATTTGTATCGATACTTGGCTATTATTGACCCCCATGGTGGAGATACTGATGGAAATACTGTGCTTCACTCGGCCATTAGGAGAGAGCACTTAGGTGAGCATCACTATCCTTCCACGTGTCGTCTTTTTTGCGGAAAAAAAATAGTGAGATTGAACCTGCGAACTCTCACTTTTATGTCAACAAGCCATGAGGCCATTAATGTTAGTGGCTCCTGTGACGATAAATATATGTATTGATTTTATATAGATTTGGCATTCTGCATCATCAAAAAGTGCCCAGAGCTTTCGCACAGCTTCAATGCGAAGGGAGTGAGTCCTCTTGAGCTGCTGGCCAGAACACCTTCTGCGTTTAGAAGTAGCTACAACCTTTCCTGGTGGAAACATATCATATACTTCTGTAAGTATGTGGGTGTGTATAATCATACATACATACATACATACATATAAATATTACTCGCTCGGATTCAATCACATATGGCCATGTGTCATATTAAAAAAATTGACATAACATATATAAAGAACTTAACATAAATATCGTGCTTCTCTCTCTATTCATGTACTAGTATATACTATATACATTCTGCTAACTTATTAATTAGTTAACTTGGCGGGTGGGTGGATGGGTGGCATGAATTATTGATAATAAATTGGATAATGAATTTTTCCTTTTCTGGGGGCTTGCTAGGTATACAAGTTGCTCCACTGAAGTATGATCCCAATCCTACTTCTAAAACAAATCCAGATCGTAAAAGCTCCAACATTGTCAGTCCGCCTTCTGCCCATAGAAGGCATGGTATGTTGCATGCATGGTAAAAGGGCACCCAACTGCCCTTCCCTCTCTTTTACTCAGTTATACGGTGAAATAACTACTAAGGATAGTATTTTTTTAACACAACTCAAATCATATATTTTATATTTTCACATGTGTATGTTTCCCAATTATTCATGATTTAGATCCTCTTCATTTACGTATCTAATTTATCTACCAGTGTCGCGAACGTAATTTATGCAAAATTGATTAAGTACATATAAGTTATATAAAAATTTGAATTTTAACTGAGTTATATAACTAGTTTAACCTTCTTTTTTTTTTTTTAAGATTTTGTACGATTTATTTGGTTGTCATCTAGTCATCATGTATCTCTATCTGATTTAGCAGAAAAAAAGGAAGAAGCGGAAGCAGTGATGAACCCGAAAAACTCAGTTGTGATTCTTAATAATCTATTTTATTTATATATATAATTCCTCCAACTAATTAAGTTTCCATATCAGTGTATATATACTTGTTTAATTTCCTGTGAATATAAAATCAATGCATGCCACAGGGAACAGATTCGCCAAGGTAAAGAGGGTGAAAGAGAAGTATGTATGGAGTCTTCAAATATTGGATCAACTTTTGGAAAATTACTCGAATTACTTGAATGAAGGGATCATGAAACATGCAATTGACGTTGAATCGGGTGCAGATCATGGTCCATTTGAGATGTTTGCTAGATTTGGTGGTAATTCATTTTCCCCTTCTTACCAAACTCATATCATACCTGGGGTTGGTGTGCCTCATTGCCAAAGAGAAAAAGTAAATTAACAACTGAATTCAGTGATGAAATTTTTGTTACTAATGAATTTAATCAGTGACGAAATTTCGTTACTAATCAATTAGGGAAGAGCTTTTTTATAACAAAATTTGAAAAATTCATTACTAATTTGCTGTTTTTTAATATCTGCTAATTTCTTAATTTTCAAATATACCTCTTGTGATATATGTATATATATACTACACATTTTATTGTACTTTCTATTCATTTTTTATTGAAGGTGATCTACTAGATAAAGTAAAGACAGTTTGATTTCTTACTACGAGCACATTCCATACTCATTAGAAGGTGAGTGTTCATTATAATATAAACCACCCAAATTGATTTTGAATGGTTTAGATTCAAATTTTTTAAAATAGTTTATTTTAATAGATGCATAATTTAAAGTATATAAAATTATAACTGACATTTAAATCTATCATTAAAACTTTTAAATCTCAACTGCTCTGGTGAAATATTATTTAATTATGTCTAGTAAGTTAATAAAAAGAATGGCTTGATTGATTTCAAAATCATGATTGAATTTAATATATAGAGTAAAATACTCTAACGACCCCTCAGTTTTATCTTAATTACATAGACATCCCCCTATTTTGAAAACCTATATAGACTTCCCTTAAAATTAAAATACAGGTTACACTAACTCTCTTGTATAACTGATATTTTATTCCCATCTATCTAAACGGTTAGTTAACTGTTAATTGTAACTTTTTAAGTTCTTTTTTTTTAACCAAAATACGTCTCTTTATCATAAGAATTAATTAAACACTTATATTCCTAAAAAAAATGTGCAACCAAAAACTGCTTTTAATACATGAATTTTCAAACTTTTTAATATATTATAAAATTTATTAATTTTGAATTTATTGTAAAATTTTATAATTTTAATTTTTCATCATATTTTAAATTTCTTTATTTTATTTTTTAAATGGTTAAAAATATATATCAAGCACATATTTTTACTCACTTTATAGTATAAACTATGTAAGTTTGATAGATTGTGTAAGTCATTTGAATCTATAATTTAAAATTGTTTTTTTTTACCTGCTATAATTTAAAATTGTTAAACACATTTTTTTGTACAAACATTTATAAACACATTAAGTTTAGATTGAAAACATTAAGCAAATAACTATTTGCAAAAATAAGAAAATAAAATAAGGAAAAATAAAATAAAATATAGTTTAATATAAATTTTGGGATTGATTAGAATGGGGTAAAATAGTAAATAAAATTTATTTTAATATAAATTTTAATTAAAAATTATGTTTTTAGAATCTTTTGAGAATATTCTTAACGGTGTTAACATATTGGACTAAACTGTATGTTTTTAAAATAAAAAGGAGGTTTGTGTAATTAAGGTATAACTGAAGAGTTGTTAATGTATTTTACTCTAATATATAATGTATACCTGGGATTAAAGGAATTAATTAATTAATATTGGGCAGTTGGTGATGATCACAAACACAAGGTTAATGAGATAACAAATAAAGCCCTGCTGGCGGCAGCAGAGACAGGTGTGATAGAAGTAGTAGATAAGATTCGACAAACATTCCAACAACAAATCATCCCCAGACATACCGTAGGATCAACGAAAAGGAATATACTGATGGTGGCTGTGGAGAATCAGCAGGCACAGACATTTGTGGCACTTCGACAATACTTGAAAAATGTACGAGGGAAGCCCAACCTGTCGGACGACCTGGTTCATGCGGTGGACGATGAAAACAACACTATACTGCACATAGCAGCAAAGTACGATGAATCCTTGTCTCATGGCTGGCAAGCTATTGGTCATGCCATGCAGATGCAATGTGAAGTCACGTGGTACGAGGTAACTATGATACCCACTCTGCACTTTTAACTAATTCTCAGGTGCTAAAAAAATAAATGACCATTTATAAAATTCAATGTTCTTGTCTTTTTTTTTTTTTAAATGAAAGTTTGGGCAGATTGGATTCTAGAAATTCACACATGTCTTCATGTTCAAAATCTAAATTAAACTCGTAACATTGTAAATTATGAGCCAATTCCTTATAAACTAGATCAATCTTTGTTAGAAATGTGTCTTCGTCTTTTTATTATGATTTTTCCATATTTTCTTGTCAATAAGTGATGCTCCCTCAGGTATTAAATAGGCACGCTGGATAATTGATTGAAAAATTAGTTAAATTAATTATTTTATAAAAAATTATACTGGTTTCTCTATAATATTTCTTTTGATTATTATCCCATTAATGAAAACACCTTTTTCATGTATACAATTAGTAGGAAATAATTTGAAAAAAAAAATTAAAAATTTAGGAGAAAAAATAAATTAAGCTATCGTATTATATTTAAAATCAAAACAAATTTTTATATTTAAGACTAGATAGAGTACCAATTAACGGGTCATTTTGGAAAGTATATTAACATTTAATTTAACTAGCTTTATTGAATTTAATTTTTTCAGTGTCATTAGAGTAACGTAGTTAATAAGTATAATAAGAAGACGAATGAGAGGGAGTAGATACCATGCACAAAAATACACTATGCTGTCTCATAGAATAATACTCCCTTGACTCTTTTTCTATGAGACAAATTCACATACTTTACACAAATAAAGAAATTTAGTTGAATATCTTTAAATTAATTTTATTTTTCAAATAAAATTATTACTACCCCACCTACCTCCGGTCCTTAATATATGACCTTATTAAACTTTTATTTTGGTCCTAGATATAAGACCCCAATTCACTTTATCTCTAATATTTATGCATTTTTTAAAGTAGTCTTTCTAATAATAATAGTTCTTGTTAACACACTTAATTAGCAAGGATATTTTAGAAAAGACAATACATATTTATTACAAATAACTAACTTAACTTATTTCTTTAATCTTTTCAAATTAGTCAACTAGCTGATATAACTAAGACTGGATGTAGTACTTAATATATATGTGTGTAGGCGCGCGCGCAAATAAAACAGTTTTAACTTATGCACTTAAAGTATTAAATTGCAGTATGTGAAATCATTTGTGCCCTCCCACTATCTTTTCCTTAAGAACGAAAAAGGCGAAAGCCCGGAACAAATATTCGCTAGAGACCACAAAGATCTGGTGGAAAAGGGCAACACATGGCTTAAGGACACATCTCAATCTTGCTCGGTGGTGGCAGCGCTGGTGGCCGGAGTTTCGTTCGCCACATCAAAGTCCGTCCCTGGAAGTATCGACGCCAAAGGCAAACCAACATTAGAAGGACATCCCGCGTTTCAACTTTTCGCCATCAGCGGACTCATAGGACTCGGATTTTCCGTCACTGCGCTCATCATGTTCCTCTCCATACTTACATCTCGAAAACAACCCATAGATTTCAAAAGGAATCTGCCATTCAAGCTTCTTCTGGGATTAAGCTCATTGTTCGTGTCCATTGCTTGCATGTTCATATCTTTCTGTGCTTCACATTTCTTCGTGCTTGAGGACAAGTTCAAGAAAGGAATCGTCCCTCTTTATGCCGTCGCTTGTCTGCCTATTTCATTCTATGCCATGGCACAGTTTCCTCTTTACATGAATCTTATGATAGCCATTGTTAAGGACGTTCCCCAATCCCGAAAATCTGTCCAGTTGTGATTGATTAAATCTTTCATGTTGTTATTTTTCTTCACAGATTTTGTGATGTTATAATAATGATTGCTTTGTGTTATTGGTTCTGGTTTGTATTTGTGAATCTTATGATCAAGAAAAACCTCATATATATATATATATATATATATAGATCCCTTCTATTTACAGTCTCACTTTAATTTTGCCTCGATTCTAAGTTATACTTTTTGGATCAATTTTATATATTACTTTCCTCTTCTTAATATAAAATTAGTTTGACATTTAGTTTAATCGTAAATTCGACATTCAATTTGATTTTAAATATGAGATCTTAATCCACTTTATATCTTATATTTATCCATTTTTTGTCAAGTAGTCTTATAGTAATTGCATATGTTAAATGTTTTATTAAATAATAGTTATAATTAATATATATGATTAGCAAGGGTATTTTAGAAAAGACAATACCTATTTATTACAAATGACTAACTTAACTAATTTTTTTTAATCCACTCAAATTAATTAACTAGTTTTTATAATATTTCAGATCGGAGGTAGCATATAGCTTATTAATTGGACCTTTATCTGATGCTTAATATTGTTAATTAATATAAAATGATAGATATTCATATTCTGATGTCTTGCTGTTATAAAACAGTACAATTATATTGTATTCTTTGCGATTTGTTCAAGCAAAAAATATAACGACAAATTTGGAATAATTTGAAAAATCATATATATATATATATATAATGTATGGTTTCATAACCATAACATACCAGAATCAGAATCAGAATGTTTCTCATTCTACACATATGTCGGAGGTTGCAAGGATATTAAATTTGCCACCTCTCATTTATAAGAGAGTTTACATGCCACTCCACTATGAGGCCATTGGCCACCTCATTTGTCTTTTATTTTCCTTCCATGCAATTGACAACAGGTTTCCCCCTTTTACATGAATCTTTGAACGCCGTCGTTTTAATCTGATTCCCAGATCACACAAATATGTCCATTTCCGCTGGGAAACCCCCCCTTTCAGATTAGCGTTTTCTTTTCATTTGCCAACATTCGATTGGTAGAGTATTATCATTTGAACCAAGATTTTTTTTAATGTTAGATAATTGATTTTCCATCATCTACTAATATTGAAAATTTCACAATAGATATTTAAATTTAATATTTTATAAAAACTTATTATAATATTTTATAAATGAATTTTCTCCCTATTTGTCTGGTATTACAATTATGAGCCATGCAGATGCACGTCAAATATTAAGTA